TTTATTCAGTGTGATCCTTGGGCCTGATGAACGCTTAAAAGTTTTTGAATGTCCGGTTGCAGTGTAGTCAGTGATAAGCGAAGAACACCTCCGTTCACAATATCAAGGCGGTTACGTATTTTTGATAGCAAACAAGTCACTCGACTAAAACCAGATTCAAACAGATAAGATGTGGGAAAAGTGATAAAATACAACTTTGCCTTCTCCCAGAGCTGTGGAAACTTATTAGCTATTCCATTACGTATCCAGAAGTAATGTTTGTCACGTTTGAATCTAGCTTGGGCAGAGAATTTTCTGTGGCCCACTCAGAATTTTCTGTGGCCCCCTAACTTTCCATCATTCACATGTGGCCCCTTAGAAACGTGGCGTGGTCCCCTGGGGGTGGGGGCATATGGCCCACGTTGAAAACCACTGGGTTAGAGCATAATCTTTTTTTTTTAAGGTACTTAGACTTTGGCCACCAGATGGCACGAAAATCGTACCAAACATCTTTTCGTGATGTACCTGAAAGACAGTAAACAAACAGTGCAGGAGAGACGTGGGTAAGTGAAGTAAGTTATTGCTGTAGAAAAACTTAAAGGCCGTACAGATTCATGTATTTTTACTTAGTAACTAGAAAGTGATACATTATTACTAAACCTAATTTGTTTTCTAAAATAGTTTATCTTTCCCTAAAGCTCAACAGTGCAACTGAAATAGTAATTAAAAGGACATCGAGTTAAATCTACAGGTCTGGTGTCGTTAGTTGTAAGTACGAACCTACTACACTATTTTGTACTGAGTTATCTATCATGTGATTCCAAGATAAAAATAGCTCCATGAGAAAGAATATTTTATTTTCCATTCAAGATTTCCTTTTAAAGTTTATGCAATTGTTTATTGTTTTGTATAACTAGTTTCTATCAATATTTGTATATTTCATTCCATATAATGCCACTCAATATTTAAATTTTATGACAAAACTTTTCTGAAGGAGCGGTTAAAGTAATTTGTGTTGAGCCAGGTCTCTCTCTGTATGCTAGTGGCATGTTCGGCAGTTTACATTTTTGTCAGCTTTATTAATAATTAAACTTAAGTACATGTAAATATATGAAAACATTTAATAGTGTAATTGATCTGTAAATTAGGTATCAATACGAAGTTGAGAAATTTGTTTCAGATATTGCGCAAAGGTAGATAAGGTTAATCTGTACAAGCAGTCGATAATTTGTAGCTGATATTTTGAGTCGTAGATAATCTACATAGAAGGCTGCTGACCAAAAGTGACCCGACAAGCTCGTGGCTACTCTGATCGAACAGTGGGATTTGACCGTCACTCTGAAAACGCGTCCATGGCTTCTAAACGCGGAGTGTGATTTTGTAGCAACGAGACAAGAACCGTAGACCTTCATGTTCATAAGTTGTGCCCTTAAAATTAACCACTAAGTAAGCCATGCCCGGTTGAGTGTAATGGAATTAACGTGAATTACTGAGCTATTATATTTACTTAAATAGTTTAGAATTGCGTTGCTGTTTAAAACATTTTATAAACAAAGGAACGAAAGTGTAACTAGTAAAATGTTAATAAAAAGAATAGTAATAATAATGGAACAGCTCATCATTAGTCGCGCGTGCGTTGAAAACCTTGAATAATATAGTGCTTTGATCGATTCTTAATTGTTCCCGTATTGACGTTTTTTATTTTGTCGTTGCCACGTGAGGTCAAGTGTTAGGAATATTTATATCGGTTATTTTTACGTATTATTCAGCAATGGTGAAAGATTTGATTTCATCTAACCAGGAATAGTGGGCCTTTATCGCCCCCGTTTCTCACCGGAAATTTATGAAGCGGATAGTTTTACTTGCGAGAGTTGCCAGAATAGATCTTGTGGCGACGCCGTTTCATGCTACTAAAAATACAAAAACCGACAAAGTGTGGTTCGCTGTCTTCCATATACGTGGGGTATCTGGAAATCACGTAGGATAAAAAAAAGAAAAAAAAAGGGAAACACTAAAGATTAAAACATTCCAAATATTTTATTCCAACTGTAAGACAGAAGTTATCATAAGATTTCATAAGTAAATTGCCAAGTGAATGTCACATGCTCATATATTCATATGTAAGAAATTGTTCTTCGTAACGATCTTAATTCCACCCAGTTTGGGGTCTGCTAGTAATTTTGTAAGACAAGAATACTTACAAATTCTTGTGTAAGAAACTGTCTGGTTTAATTTGTTCATTCCCAGCTAATTATAGCATGGATTTTGTTACTTAATGGCATATGTTTTTACATGTTACGTAATATGTATTTCAAATGGCAGTCACTAGCTTTGCATTTTGATTTCCTTGACTTGGATGTTTCATTTACACTTGTGAAAGAAGTTTCATCTATCGTTTAAGGCAACTCTTCTAGTGCAGCTTTCTTCAGAATGAATATTCTTATTAGTTAGTAGATAATCATGTATGTCGCAGTAATAGTAGAGTTTGGCGAATTACACCAGCAACTGTGTAGCGGTACTTGGGTTAGCGTGCCGAACTGTGAATCTGGTTTGCGTTATGATGCCGCAAAATCGCGCTCCGCAATTTCGGATTGTAGGTTCGTTATAAAATTGGCAGTGGGTGTTGTTGACTTGTTGCCTTCCCTGTAGATTATTAGTTTAAAACTAGAGTCGGCTAGCACCTATAGCTCTTAAGTAGCCTTGTGAGAATATTCAGCCCAACGTCAGTGACTATTCTGTGCACAGACTGGTTCCATGTGAAGCATACAAGAAAGATTGTTCATCAGATGGTGGAGAGGATAAAATCATGATTATCTAACAATAGCCTGTAGGTTTAATACTGGAATTTTTTTTTAAATTGTTCAAACACTGTCCCAAATGCTCAAATAGCAAAATACACTGTCAGATGATAATCACAGGTCAGTTTGAAGGGTAACCTTTTTTGCATCAAGAATCTCAGTAAGATTAAACTTTGCAAGTGGGAAGCTTAAAACATACCACTGCAAAATGTCACCCAATAATATGACACACTGCCTTGAATGTTTAAACAGAGTGTAAAAAAACAGAGTTAAAAAGTTTCAATTTGTCAAATTGCTAAACTGTAAAGACCACCGTACACTAGATTTGCATGAACATCTGTCTATCTATGCAACAACGATAATGATATTGGATTAACTTCAGTGTTAGTAACATTCAGGACCAATCCCAGAATTTGTTTCATAATCATCTTCATTATTTTCAGTGTTAGTAGTATGGTTTATTTCAAGTTAATTTGGTGGTGCTCTTTATTTTACAAACATCAATTAAATGATACTATTTGGAAACTAAAGACTATACCATACACAATTTTTATTTAACAGGAATTATAAACCTATTTAGTCTATATTTAGAACTCCCGCAGAAAAATATTAAATGATTTCATTTTCGAGTTTACATTTATTTTGGAATTAAACATAATTTAATAATCTCACATGCTACTGCTATATTGGATTGATGATCATTCCATGAATGAAATAATAGTAAAATTGAAATCATGGCACACAAGAATCTAAGTGTAAATACATATTTGGTTGTGATATTTCAACTAGAAGCAGAAATATGGTTAAATTTGTGTTTTGGCAGCCAAGATGGCCACCAGCTGCCATCTTGGATATCTCAAAACACTGAAGGATGCCAAAGTGGGATTATCCAGCATTGGAATCAGGTGATCCCAATTGTCTGATTCTAGTGACCATCAAAAAATATTTGCTAGACACTACTTCTAGACTGAGGCCAAAATTGGACCTTGGCAACTGGACTATTATCACTTATACTTTAATGGACATGTATGTTTTGTGTTTTTGTAATTTTATCAGAACTTTTGAATGACCTCTCTTGTTTTAAATTTACCACAAATCTACTTTGTTTACTGTGTAATATGTTATCATATATCAAAATTCATAGTTAATTGCTTATAGACCTGAATTTTTTTATGATTAGTTGCCTTTTACATTATTCTCTTCTGCAATTATAATGTGATCTTTAAGAAGAAGAATAATGGTCAAATGGTAGTTACAGAATTAGGGTTGGCTGTTGTGTGATTCATTTTAAGCACTTGGAGATATAGTGTGTATTAGTTAAGCACACACATATGTTGAGAATTCATTAGCCAGACGGACAGCTTCATGTGGTACGTTGTGTATGGTTATCTCCCTTATATATCTGTTTAGATGATCATTCTTTTTATTGCAATCTTGTGTTGTAAACATTTATAATTTGCATATAAGATATATAAAATTACTTTTTTATATTTATGAAAGAGCCCAAAAAACATAAATGCACCACTGTTGTCTTGTGATTCATTCAGTGCAACTGAAATGATTGGAGTAGAAGTCACATATCTTATTGAGTGAGGTATTTGGATATTATTTGTGGTTGCTGTATTCTATACAATGTTTTCAAAAATGTTGACATTGTGTTTATGTATTTGGGTATAGTACTGATTTTTATATGCGTAGTTCCTTGTCTTGTAGCCTTATGAGTCAATTTACATAGAATGAAATTCTAAGTAATTAGAGTTTTGTTCCTGAGTCTTTAAGCAGGTTGTCTGTGTTACAAAATGGCTGTAATTATTCTAACTGCAAGTTTTACTTTCCATTTTAATGCTTCTGCTTTCAGAAGCTTTGTAATTGATATGGAAATAACACATCTGTAATGCAATTTACTTAGAATTGTGTCTTCATTTTAACTTAGTAACTTAATGTTTGATTCCACATGCTATAAAAATATCCCCTAGTCATGTTAGGCTTATTAATTTTACACATCATGTAGAGATTCAAGAATGGACTTTGTATATTTTTACTGTATTTACTTTGGTAGACAGTGTATTGATTTATTGATTTACAACCTAATTAGTGTGAGGTAAGTCATATTAATCCTAAAAGAAAGACTCTTTATATTGATCTTTTATTACAACTGTTTGTGTTTGGTGTCAGAAGATTCCCTAGAAGTGGATGTTTTTGTATTATTTATTTATTTTACAGGTTTTTGAAACTGGCCTCTTCAAGTTTTAGCATGAATAAACTAACAAGTAAGAATTATGCTCCTATTATTGACATCACAGACACCTTTGGCCGTTATGGACCTTGGCAAAGAAGGGTCTTCATCTTTATGTCAACTGTAAGTATTTTTTCAGCTATGCACAATCTGGCCATTTCATTTTTTGCTCCTAACATTGACCACTGGTGCAGCCGTCCTCCAGAGTACCAGAATATGTCCGTAGATCAGTGGAAAAATTTCACAATCCCACTAATAAAAGATGACGATGGAAAGACTAGTTTTAGCAAATGCCAAATGTTTTCCTTCCCTTCACTGAACTCTACAAACAACGAAACTGATGTTATTGACTGCCCAAGTTGGGAGTATGAAGATAGCTTCTATATATCTACCATTGTGTCCAAGGTAATTTATAAGTTTCTTAGGGATTTAACAGTAGTTAAAGTAACTTGAATTTAGATATATTCTCTAATGTATCAAACATTTCCCATCTGATTTAAGGAGTATGTTTGAGGTAATTTGAAGAATCGAAATATTTTCTTAATGTATCAAAAGTATATTGGGTAATTTGAAAGTAGAGTTTTCTCACCTGGTCTAAGCAATACATAAGCCTGAGAATATAAATTGATCATGTCCATGATGTCACAAGCACCTAACTCCAATATATAAACACAAGTATAATTTGGTACAGATAACATAATACAAACAACCATGCTACTAATGAAATAATCCCAGGAATTAGCCGTATTTCCTTGAGGTCTCGTAGTTGGATAATGGAAAGGTGGTCAAAGTCAGCAAGAAATTATTAGGTCACTTGCAATACTGCGGAAAATAAGGTTATGATGCAGTATCAGTTACACAGGGAAAAAATAGTTCCTGCATGCCCTGGCTCCCAAAACCAACAAAATGTAATCAGTTGTTTCAGGAGAGGGGCAACTTATACTACAAGAAGTTATTTTCATAGCATGAGCTACTGTAGCAGAGTAGTTGGATGGAAGGCACTCCTTATTGCAAGTAGTATTGTATGTCACCAACAGTGAGCATCACACCCCCCCCCCTTTTAGGACACAGTATTTGTTTTTTAAGGTGGTTCCAGATTTGTACTATTCTTATAGTGGACACACACACACACACTTGGGTTTTATGATTGTCCTCCAACTGCAAGTATGGTGTGGGGTGCCATTTTGGCAGCTAGGTGGTTACAGTTGATGGTATGGGAAGAGATGGTCATTGCTACTCGATATATCGCAGTATTTAAGCAAGACTGTCTATCTTTCTGTGCCAATGACCAGCAGTTCTTAAATTGTGGTTTTGAAAAAAGATGTATTTCTCATTTATGATTTACTTTGACATTCCCATCAAAAGACCATGAATGCTAATGGCTAGAATCTGGAAGAGACAAAATGCTATTCTGCCCCAGTTTAACCCCTACTGAAAAGCATACCAAACGAGGCAGTATCTTACTGCAGTATGGTGCCCTTGCTCATTCAGCTTGTCATAAAATGTTGGCTTGAAGGTAAGAGCATTACCATGGCCATGAATGCTATCGAGGAAAAGCATTCCAAACAACTAACTTTTAGGGACACCCTCATTCAGATCCTCTACTAGCAGTGGGATGCAGGTCTACATGCCCAGATTTCAAATATTGTAAATACTATGTGTATCTGTGTTTTTGCCTTAAATATTGCAAAGTGCAGATCAACTAAGAAATAGTGGTATTATTCTACATTGTAATGAGTGTCTCTTTACTGTATTTTAACCAACAGTTATGTGGAATTATTAAATAATTACAAAAAATGGCAGTTATGTACAGTTGTTTCTGGGATTTTATTATCACTTAATATTATGTCTGTGGTAAATGAGTTTAATTAAACCATTTTTTCTTATTCATGTCAATCAAAGTTTAAATTTTAATAAACTAAAGTTATTGTTAAATAATATAATCCTGTTTCTGCTGTAGTGGAACTTAGTTTGTGACAAAGAATGGGCCATTTCTATGAGCCAGTCAGCATTCATGGGTGGTTACATGACAGCAGTGATGGTGTTTGGGCAACTCTCCGACAGGTAAATCTGCATAAGAGACTTTTAAATAAGCCTTGGAGGACACTCACTTTGTGAATTATTTATAACAATTGTTAAAACATAATCGTTAGTCAATGTTATGGTTTTACAATGAAGTTCTAACACCCAGTACAAATTATTCAGTGTTACAAACTAACAAGGAATGATGGGTCTAGCATTTGTACTGATTGTTGGGACAACATTATGAAAGGGAAAGGTGATTGTTAAAAGTCAATTCCTTACATAAATGCTTGTCATTAAAACATAAAAATGATGTTCATTATCCCTATTATCAAAATGATGTGTTGAATGGTTCTGGTTTTAAGAATGATTCAGTCATAGTAACATTGCCATCAGAACCTTATCAGAAAGAAAAAGCACTGAGAATTTGATACTTACTGACTTTATATCTTATTCTATGTGATCTTAATTTATTGAATAATATGAGTTTATGCATGATTAAGTGATTAACATGTTAAATATTCTAGAATTTAGAAATACATGTGTGTCTTGATGTTTGACACAAGTAATTTTCCTAAAGCTGGAACTGTTAAATGAACTTGTTTCATTTCTTATCACCTAGTAATGAAAAGTTTGTTATAACTTATATTTTTTATTATTTTGACCAGTTTAGTGATATCTGTGTTTTAGTGTTTTTAAATTATGTTCTTAAGACAGTATTCGACTATGTCGAAAATATAAGTAATTATATTCTTTGATTCCATATGCTATGAATAATATTTTATTGATGATATATTATTGTATAGTTTATATTATACTAATGATGAAGCTAAAAGAAATGATATCTTTATAATCACAACTTTTTTAATGATATGGGTTATTCAAAGATTCTAGCCATGTACAAAGACTGAAAAATGGCTGGAGTTGAACACAAGTTATTATAAAAATAGACTTTAATTTTGTATTATGTTGATCACAGGATTGGAAGAAGACCTGTAATTGTCATTGCTGTGACAATTTTTCTGCTTTCTGGAATTACCTGTCTCTTTGCTACCAGCTTTATGATGTTTGCCATTTTGAGATTCTTCATCTCCTTTGGTGTGTCAGGAACTGGAGGAACAGCATTTGTTCTGTGTAAGAAATGTGTGGTTTGCTGAAGAAATTGGCAATATTTTTGTAGATTCTAAATAAAACAAAACTTTAGTTTTTGTAATACAATAATTTTGTAGTCCTGAGCTCAGATATTATGTATTTAAATTAGATAAGCTCCAACTTTTTAGTAGTCAGTTTATTGGTGTAAGAAAAGCCAAGCACTTGTTATATTGACAAACTGGATATTTTGAGGTAGAATGCAAGCCAAGTATTGTAATTGATAAGTATTAGTTACAACTAAATTAAGAATGAATTATTCTTGAACAAAGAATTGCCTTACATAAGATACTTATTGATCTTCTGTTGTTTTTAGAGCATTATTAACCATTTTGAGGAAAAGAATCTACATCAACACATGGTTCAAACAATTTATTTTTACAGAACATAAATAACTACAAGATAATTCAATTTATTGAAAAGTAATTCTCATGACAAAATTGCAATTGAATAGGAAATCATTCAAAGATAAAAGCTTTGAATTAATTGACCATTTAAAAATGAAAAATTATTCAAGTTTTTCCTATATATCTTTAAAAGAACTTTTAATTTATTTTGTGTTTTGATAATCGAATGTGATTTTTCAGTATATTCAAAGAAGCTACAAGTTAAGTACTCTTTCTGACATTTATGTGAAAGAAATGTTAATCAATTGCAATATTAAGATGGTACTTTTAACAACTTTCAAACTAAATACAACATTAAAACTATTTTAAACAGTTTCAAATCTTAACTAATTACAAGATTAAGATGATATTTTTTATCAAATTTCACAATTACAACAGTAAATTTGTATTTTAATTAATTTTACATCTTAACCAATTACAATACTAATATGGTATTTTTAACAATTTCATATTTTTATTAATTACTAAATTAAGATATTTTTAATAAATGTTATGTCTTAACTAATTACAATATTAAAATGATATTTTAAGTAACTTTGTATCTTAATGAATTACAATATTAATTAATTATAATATTAAGATGTATTTTTAACTATTTCACATCAATTACAATAATATGATGGTATTTTTAACTGATTTCCATGAGTTACAACATTAAGATAGTATTTTTAACTAACTTATTGTTTTAATTAATTACAGTATTAAGATGGTATTTTGTTATTTACCCTTTTCCCTTTAGTGATGGAAGCAGTAGGTCCAGAGTTTCGATCATTTTTTGGCCTTGCCTTTAACTTTGGTTGGGCATTAGGATACATTATTTTACCTGGATTAGCATGGCTAATACGTGACTGGTATTACCTTCAGGTGGCAATTACTGTCCCTTGTTTTTTGTTACTTCTATTTTGGTGGTAAGTCAGTGTTTTGGTATACACCATACTGATAAGGTATAATTAAGGATAGGTGATATCAGTAGTGACAGCTATTAAATTGTTTGTATAAATAAACTACAGGGTATTTACAGCAATCACTGTGCTTGTATAGGTAAAGTACAGGGTATTTACAGCAATCAGTCTGTTTGTATAGGTAAAGTACTGGGTATTAATAGCAATCGGTGTGTTTGAATAGGTAAAGTACAGGGTATTAACAGCAATCGGTGTGTTTGAATAGGTAAAGTACAGGGTATTAACAGCAATCGGTGTGTTTGAATAGGTAAAGTACAGGGTATTAACAGCAATCGGTGTGTTTGAATAGGTAAAGTACAGGGTATTAACAGCAATCGGTGTGTTTGTGTAGGTAAAGTAACAGGGTGTTAATAGCAATCGGTGTGTTTGTGTAGGTAAAGTAACAGGGTATTAACAGCAATCGGTGTGTTTGAATAGGTAAAGTACAGGGTATTAACAGCAATCAGTGTGTTTGTGTAGGTAAAGTACAGGGTATTAACAGCAATTGGTGTGTTTGTGTAGGTAAAGTACAGGGTGTTAATAGCAATCGGTGTGTTTGTGTAGGTAAAGTAAC